ACTCCTTATAAATTTATTTTAATATAAAAATTCATAAATAGTTGCAACTCAAAGTGTTGCAATTTAAGTTGCTACTAGTTAAAAATTTTTAAAATAATTATGAGAATCATCTTTATATTGAACCCTTGATATAATGAATTTTTAAATTAAATATATTAAAATTACCTTATTATAATGAACTAGCCAATTAAATTTTTTAAAAAATTCATTATAAGCTTATAACGAAGTTGATATCCAGATCCTAGAATTCGTTATATCAAGAGGTCACTATATAAAGTTTTAATTAAGAAAATTATTAGTAATTGTACTAAAAATTTTTCAAAGATAGCTTTTACAAAGTAAGTTTAGTAATAAATAAATTTTTACTATTAAACTTAGTAAAATAATTCTGCAGTCTTGGTTTTACTAAGAAAACTTAATAATAATTACTATTGCAACTTCAGTTTACTAAGAAAACTTAGTAATAACTGCTATCATGACTCAGTTTACTAAAAAAGCTTAGTAATACCAGTCATTGCGGCTTCAGTTTTACTAAAAAACTTAGTAATTACCATCATCATGACTTCAGTTTTACTAAGAAAACTAAATAATAACTGCCATCTCAGCTTCGTAACTATTTTATTAGTAAAAAACGTCTCTAAAATCACAGAAGCATTTTTTACTATGTTTTCATAGTAAAATAATATCTCTGAAGCCTTAGATGCATTTTTTACTATGTTTTCTTAGTAAAATAATGTCACTGAAATTGCAGATGTATTTATTACTATATTTTTCTTAGTAAAAAGTTATTTTTAAAGCTGTAAAGGCACTTTTTGCTATAGGTTTCTTAGTAAAAAAACATTTTTGAAATTATAGAAGCACTTTTTGCTATGGTTTTCTTAGTAATATTCACTTTTAAAGCTTTGGAGATGACTTTACTATTGATTCAAATCAAATTGAATATTTGAATACTTGATTTGAATTTGATTGAATTGAATCAAACATTAATTTAAATTTGATCAAATAAATTATTCTTTAATTTGAATTTGATTTTATCAAATCAAATATAAATTTGAATTTGTATTTGATTTGATTTTCAAATTAAATATTCAAATATCAAATTAAATTGTGAAATCCTAATTTCACTTAAAAGGCAAATTCGTCAGATAACCTAATTAGTATTTAATATTGTTAATGATCTTTTTTATTATTAATTCTAACAAAATTATTTTTTAAATTTTAGGTAAATGCAACTTCTATAAAAATATTATACTAGAATTTTAAAGAAATACCTTTAATTAGGATAAATGTGATGGTTTCAAACATTACTACTCAATATAAATAGAAGATTAACACTGGATTTTTATATAAAAGAACAATTAAGAGACTGTGAACTGTGAAATTTTTATGTGGAAGTTACCCACAGTGTTACGAATAGCTACCTTACAAATAGGATTAATGCTATTAATAATCAGAGCATGAGATCTACTACAACGCTCCTAATAGGAATGATCTATTATAAACAACTGATTATTGAATTTATTAGTGACTAAGAAACTACCCTGGAAAAACATATCAATAATTTGAAAGATACTTCCCTTATACCTTTATTCAACTAACCAACTGTTTTGCAAACATTTCTTGAGCAAATCACAATAGTAATCATTCAATAACGCATACTTTAAGAGGTTTAATAAGAGCTAGAAGGATGTTAAATCTTATCACAGATGAGCGCTATTATTATTACTGAAGTATCTATCAATATCAATTTAAACCATATGATTGTGATGAGTTTCAATTCTATTTCCCCAAATTTTGATGCTGATAATAATCAAGGAAATCAGAGTCAAATTGAGTAAAGATTCTTATTAAATTAATACAAATAAATGATTCAATTACAAAGGTTACAAAGGCAATCATCCTTATTGAAAAATTTTGCCTACAATAAATGAAATTAATTTTTTATTCATTTATTTAAACATTAAAGTATTATATAAACTTATACTTATAGTAATTTGTTTATATATATGTAAAAGATGTTACCTATTTTTTTTTGTATTTGATAAACAAATAATTTTTATCATTTGTTTTTTTTTTGTTTTAATATTAATATAAATTATATATATTAATAAAATCTTATATTTCTGATAATAAAACAAAGTTATTTGTTTTTATTTTATTATTTATAAATCTGATAAATTTCATAAATATATATATAAAATTATCTATAAATTTAATTATATGATAATTCTTTGAAAAAATATTAGATTGTAAATCATTAATACAAAATAAATTCCTTATTATCTTAGAAATTATATAATAATTATATGTGTGATAGCTTTGGATAAAAATGGAATCATTATATTAATTTGTATCTAATTGTTATAGAAAATTGAAAAATTTTATCGTTAATAATATATATATAAAAAAAAACTTATTAAAACTACCTGATTTTTTTTAACTTAACAATATTTTCACCATGAGCCATTATATCAATGTAATATATACTAAAGATCAGCACTATAATTAAGAAATTACAACTCAATAAGTTGCAACTCCTTATAAATTTATTTTAATATAAAAATACATAAATAGTTGTAACTCAAAGAGTTGTAACTTAAGTTGCAACTAATTAAAAATTTTAAAAATAATTATGAGAACTATTTTTAATATACACTTTAATAATGAACACAAAATAGTCTTAGATTAGAGAAATGATAATACTAACTCAGTTAATTTGAATTAAACACATAATAATCAATACGAAATCTTATTGGTTAATCCTCAAAATACTAATATGCAAACAATTCTAACACAATCTCTTTACTAGAAACCATTACTAAAATTACAAAAGCTATATAATAAATTTTAAAATAATATATTCGCTTAATATTTTCGTATGATATGTGTTTATTGCAGAAGGCTTTTGTATTCTAAAAAATCATCTTGAATACTTTATGACCAACAATTTTCTATCTTCCTGCAACAACATATATTTAATATTTCCCTTTCATTTAATTCTAATATTTATTATAATAGCAGATTAAAATACTTACTTGTAAATCATTTAAAAGACCTTCTATCAAGATTTATATTTTCTCATCTTTCTTCTATATTACAAGCCATCATCTCAATCTTATTACATAAAAAAAACATCTATCACCAGTTTATTTATATTATTCATTAGGTAGAACCCTAAATAGCAATCCTTACTCTGAATACAGATGCCTTACAAAAACTATAAATTACTCACATAATATCAGAGTACATGCTTTATATTTAGAAATATTAGGGCTTTCTTAGAACAATCTGATGATACTGATAATAGAATCAATTTAAACTACCTTAATAAAGAATCTGTTCATAGCAGAATTTTATGTCAAGCTGCTATTTGATTATCCTAAGATAATCCTTACCTTTAACTATATACAAACTTATTATCATCTCATGATAGATCTAAACAGATTATAAATCAACCATTTATGATAACTACTCATATATCGACTGATACTAACATTTTACTTGTAAATCTTAATGATATTAAAGTAATATGATTGGTTTTTGATACTTATAAATCTATTATATTAATTGTCTTTTAAGATGATAAAAAACTTCACAAAAATAAAATAATTGAATATTTGATATGATTAAAATAACAACAAATGATAATTATTGATCAATAAATTACAAATCATGATTTATGATCACGATATATATCACAAGATGGGGTGATTCTTCAGTAAGCCTCAGTACTAGCTAGTTATTACATGCTATAGACTTAATAATAATTTCTAAAAATAATTTCTAATATAATAAAAATATTTAAAAACCACTTTAAATTTAATAAAAATATAATTAGAACTTTTATAATTTCATAAAAATTCTTGCATTATTCAAAGTTACTTTTAAAATATTTCTTTAACTAATATACATTTTTTCTTTGGTTATAAACTTATTTTTTAGGGAATAATTAGGGATTAATATATTTAAAACCATATATTTGATATAATGCAGAAAAAAAGGATTTTTAGCTAATTTTATATTATACATAATTATCAAATGTTTATTTAAAAATAAAAGTCAAAAGTTAAAAGTGTTAGTCAAAGAATTACCAAAAATCAAAAGAATAAAGTAAAATTTTTTCATAAAAAAAAAACATTAATCATCACATTTTTAATTTTTCTTTTTTAATAAAAAAATTTTAGTTTTCATACGTAAGCAATTTAATTCACGTCGGAATTACCGCCAAATTTATCATTTGAAAAAAATATATACTGTACATTGTAAAAATTTCACTTAAAGCGTTACGATTTATCATTTTATAAGTTATTTTTTTGCAAATTATTTCTTTAAAGAATTTATAAGAATAATAAACTTATCCTACAAAATCCTATATCTCTCAGTTCCAATTTGTCTCCATAAATGTTTCCAGAGAATTTCTTTTCAAAGAAACGAATAAAGACTCGAATGATTTTTTTTTATCAACTCTTGGGGTTTACATTTTTTTCAACCCAGTGACCCTAAGGAAAAAACAAACTAACTATACAATTTAGATATCAAAACAGCATTATTGATTTTCAAGGGGATAATTTTTTATTGGGAAGGAAATTTTGATGAAACTTTTAACAGAATTAAAAGATATAAAAAGGTGTGAAGGGGAAAAATTAACATGGGAAGGGAAATGTAATGAAAAAAAAAATGTAAAAACTTGGAAAATGAAAAAAGAAACGGCTTGAAAATAAATGTCTATGCACAGTGTTCAATAATACAACCCAAAGCCGTGCATTGCATCTTATGAGAACTATCCTATTGTTCAACATACAACATTTAAGGGATACACAACAAAGAAAAAAGAAATAAAAAATAGCAATGATAAAAGAGTACGTTTCTAATATAGCAATACAAATTAGCAATGCGAAGTCGATTTCAGAAGAATACAGCATGGGTATTCGTGATATTATTACCTTCTAAATTTGTGAGGTTATTATCTAAACCATTGCTTATATAGCTTTAAAAGGTCTTTACATTGGATTGCTACCACCAAAGTTAAACCCTCCTTGAGGCATGTCTACATCCGATGGAAAAGCAAATTGACCTGTATTCGTATTCATCTCAGGAGCCAAATTAGGATCTTCTTCTTCATCTTCTGCAAAGTATTTATCAATTATGTGATAGGCCTTCTTGTAAATTTCAATATTGTCGTGAATCTGCAAGTTATGAATCTTCTCCATACCACCAGCTTCTTCAACATATAGGGCGAATTGATTTACGCTATCTACCTTATCAATTTCACCAACTTTTAGGACATTCTCAATTCCATCAAGTGAAACTTGAATAATTTTATTATCCATGCAAGTTAATAAATCACAGAGTGGCTTAATGCATCCTTGACTAACGAGATATTTGATTTGTTCAGGTTTATTCAAACCACCAGACGTTGCATTGGAAATAGCCCAGCATGCTTCCTTGCGAGTCTTAAAATCGGCGTGTTGCAAGATGTTAATAAGAGGTGGTATAATATTCGCATCAATAACTGCCTGTATTTGAGCACAATTTCCAGCAGTAATATTGGAAATTGTCCAACAAGCTTCCTTACGAAGACCATCCTTTGGACTAGATAATAAACTCAATAAAGCAGGTAAAGCACCACAATTGATGATAACTTGAGTTTGGACATCATCGCCAGTAACAATATTTCCAACTGAACGTAATGCTGGAGTTTGAACGGAAGTTGATGAATGCCTGAATAAACAAATGTCAGGTTAGTTGCTAAGATTAAAAAATTAACAAAATTTAAAAACCTTACATCAAAAGCTCGACAAGCCGACGGCAAACGCCAGATTCAATAACGGCTTGTATTTTTTCATTACTGCCATCTGATAAATATGAGATAGCCCAACAAGCATCAATAAGAACCTCATCATCAATAGAATAGATGAGTTTGGCGAGCACTGGAAGAGCGGGAGCAATCTAAAGTAACATAATTATAATCGTTAATAAAATTTAATAATAATTTTGAATTAAAAGGAGAAATCGCAATCTTACCAGGCTCCAATCTGGTTGAGGATTTTTTCCGCGACAGAAGTTAGATAGGGTCCAAGTTGCATTTCTCAACATTGAAAGTTTGTGATGTTCATTCAAGATGGCTAATAAAGGTCGAAGGGCTCCCTCACGCAAGACATAGTCACGACATGGAGGACTATCACCGGCAATATTACCTAAAGCCCAAACAGCCTAATATTCAAAAAGGAACTGCATATTAAGTAAAATAAATCAAAAAAATAATCGAACCAAAGGAATAATATAATAAATATACCTGTTCTTTAACATCAGCAACTGTGCTACTCAATAATTCAACAAAGATAGGAACAGCTCCAGCATCGATAACAACTTGGGTTTGCTGTGAAGATCCTGATGCAATATTAGTCAAAGCCCAAGCTGCTTCGAACTAAATTGATCAAAAACGCGTAATGAATTAAGATTATTTTTTTTTAAAAAAAAAAAAATCATATTTAGATAAAAGCTTAAAAATATACTTGAACCAAAGAGTGAAGAGATCTCAAAAATTCCACAAAACGGACAACTACTCCACATTCGATAACTTGTTCAATAGGAGGATTCCTCTCCTTGGAAAGCAATTTTCTAAACTTGGTAGTGGCTTGCAATTGCTCCTCAACATTTTCAGAGAAGACTCCATGAATCATACCAGGTAACTGCTCTTGGAGCTAAGCCATAACGTAAAAAAAAAAAAAAAAAAAAAAAAAAAAAGTATAGAATGAATAAAATATCATCAAATAAATAATGGCCCCACAAAATATTGAGAATTATTTAAGTCCAACAAAAAAAAAAAAATTTGAAATACTATGATCTATAAAAGAGCTTTGGAGCGCAACCAAAGAAAGTTTAATCGTGGTACAGAGAATGTTGTAATTCTATGTTTACTGCGTAAAAGCTAAATAAATAACAAGTAGTAAACCTCTCATAATTTACCTGAGCGTTAATGGTCGCAACAGCCACCTCATCATCCGAGTCGGGTGAGGCGGGAACATTAAGATTACGACGTTTTGCCAATGATTCTTCTCGGTTCTTTCGACGAATTTCAACTTGTAATTCCTCACGACGTCTGCGTAATTCGTCAGCCTTAAAAACAGCCTTTGCCTTGAAGGCATTTTTCCTATGTTCAGGAATTTTATCTTTATCCATGTTGTCCATTCTTTTTGTAAAACCTAGGCCACTGATCACTTGAACCACTATTAAACCCTTCCCAAGAACAAGAAAGGGAAAATGATGCTTCAAGCTTGTTAAAAAATCTTACAAGTGTGAGTGGAATTGATTACAAATCATGTGATCACTACAAAAAATATACCAATTAGAAATCTGCAAATAACGTAGCAAAAGCTTTTTCCTTTATTATAAAACTATGAAATAGTTATAATATAAAATAGGAAAGAATTAAAGATCTTATGATAAACGATTAAGTGAGATATTTTCAGATAAGAAATAGTTGATAATTTTTTCAAAATTTTCTTTCTTGAAGAAAAATGGCAAATCTGGACAATAAGAAAGCTCTTGTGTTGGTAGCAGACGGTTCAGAGGAAATGGAAACGGTTATAACCAGTGAGTATTTCAAGTTTTTTAAATCAAAAATACTCATATAAATTTCTTTATTCATTATGAATTTTCATTTAAAGTTGATGTATTGCGACGTGCACAAATTGACGTGACAGTCGCCGGAATTGCATTACAAAATGAAAATTACGCAAAGTGCAGTCGTGGTGTTATGATTGTACCAGACCAATCTTTTTCAAATATTTCTAAAGAAGTCTTATCTAAAAAGTGTATCTATGATATTATTATTATTCCGGGAGGTTTAACTGGTGCACAAACTATTTCATCCAATTCAGAGATTCAAGAATTGTTGGCTTCAGAGCATCGAGATGGCAAATTTATCGCTGCAATTTGTGCTGGTATTTTGAATGGATCTTTTCATAAATAAATATAAGGATGTTTTATTTCAGTTCTTCATATGTTTTATTTAATATCAGGAACTATTGCGATAAAGAGCGCCAATATAAACAAGGGCGGAAAGATTACGTCTCATCCGGTCGTTAAGGCTGATTTGGAAAATGGTTAATATCTGTTTGTTCATATTACATCAAAACGAATTAACTTTACATTCATCGCGAATCTTTGCTTATCTCCTAGAATATAATTACCAAGAAGAACGCGTTGTGGTTGATAATAAGGTTATTTCGAGGTAATTTGAAATTTTAGAGCTATTTATACATTCTATGGATTTTTAGTAAAAATTATCTATAATATTAGTCGAGGACCAGGTACCGCGTTCCTTTTTGCATTAACGATTGTCGAACAACTTCTTGGTAAAGAAAAACGCGATGAGATATCTTCTCCTATGATTCTCGCATCAACTTTGTGAAAATTCCGTATTAAAGATTAAAAAAAAATATAACAAAAAAAGATAAATCGTTCAAACCTATTTCATTACCGTTTTAAGAAATTTACCATTGATGACAATGTTAATGTAATCAATCAATCCATTACCTCATGTCATGTAGATCATTAAAAATAATTTTTTTTGGGTATTACTAAATCTCTTAGTAATGACAATCGTGCAACTGTTATATCTCGACCCTTACGAGAATAGCTTTGTCAAATCACTTCGTTACTCTATACTGGCACAATTTATTTTGTTCCGTTCTTAGAGTCAATAGCTGTCTTAAAATCTTTTGTTATCAATTGCGACAGAGGTAGCCTCATTTAACGCTAAGACAACACAATGGAAAAGACACCACATATACCAAAGAGGACCTCAAGTTTTCATTCCGGATCTCTTCCTGTAGTTAGCTCGTCCGACGATCTTATTTTCTCCAGTAATGTAGAGGACTACGATATTAATACTAACAGTCCTATAGGTGGGAGTATATTGGTGCTTTTTCCCATTTTTTAATCTAGCACATTTTTCTTCGAATATACTTATTTTCTCTGTTAACGATGAGACTAAGCAGAACAAGAAATAAGTTAGCAATGAATTAAAGCCATTGTATTAATTGCTTTATGAATTGTTGTAAAAGCAATTTGCAATGTATTAGAATTAAAAATTTGCCATGTCATTTTAATAATTATAAATTTGTTCAATTTCCAAAAAATTACATAGGTTATGGTGCATCTGCTATTGTTTATGGTGCTTTATATAAACCCTTGAATAAAAGGGTTGCCGTTAAAATGATAGATTTGGATTTCTTTGAGCGAAATCAAATCGATGAAGTTAGGGTACTGTATATTATTATCGGTTGACAATTGATTTTTATTCTGATCGTCGAAACAGATTATATCTCATTATCATAAATTTATATTAATACTCCAGAGAGAAACACAATTAATGTCTCTTTCTAAACATGCGAATGTGTTACGTGTTTGTGGCTCGTTTGTAAACGAATCAAAGCTTTATATCGTTACTCCTTATATGTCAGCTGGTAGGTCCCATTTGATTCTAATAATTAAAACCAATATTAGATTAGATCTTTTCAAACATTATGTGAACATGTTGAAAGATGTCCACCAATATTATCAGGTTCATGCTCGGATATAATGAAGACCAATCATCCTGATGGCTTTGAAGAATCAGTAATAGCGGCTATTTTAAAACAAGCTCTTCTAGGATTGGATTATTTACATAAAAATGGACATATTCACAGGCAAGTTATAATATAACTTTAATAAATATTACTTGATGTTTTTTTTTTTAATGTTTATTTACTTTTTTTTTTTTTTTGCTAAATACAAAACAGAGACGTGAAAGCCGGAAATCTTCTTGTAGACGAAGATGGATCAGTTTTACTTGCTGATTTTGGTGTATCATCCTCACTTACAGAAAATGGTGATAGAAGAGGTTTTCGAAGAACTTTTGTCGGCACAGTAAGTGGATATACTTCAATTAAGCAATTATTTATTATCATAAAATTTATGTCTGTTATTTTCCGAATTCCTTTATTAGCCATGTTGGATGGCTCCAGAAGTTATGGAACATGCAGGATATGATTATAAAGCCGATATCTGGTCATTTGGGATCACTGCGCTTGAATTATCTACTGGACATGCACCTTTCGCCAAATTTCCGCCCCTTAAGGTGCATACTGTAAAACAATATCTTTATCCTTTGTTAATCTATTTATAATATTTTTAATTATATATTTCGTCACTACCTTTTTTTTTAGGTAATCATGGTTACACTTTCTAACGAACCTCCTACTCTTGATAGAGAATCAACAAAGCATAAATATTCAAGGACATTTAAGGAAATGATTGATATGTGTTTGCAAAAGGATCCAACTAAGCGGTGCATATATTTATCAAGACACGTCTTATTTTATATATATTATGTCATACATTGAAAATATATTACTTACTTTATCATTTTTCTTTAGTCCATCTACTGAAAGGTTGCTAAATCATCCGTTTTTTAGACCTGCTAAGAAAAAAGATTTTTTAGTGAGTAAAATATTACAGCACTTGCCACCTTTGGAAGAAAGGCCACATAAAAGTATATAGTCTTTATTTGTTGAATTAGATTATTTAATTTCTTTTATATAATATATTTCTTTAATTTATTTAACTTAAATTTATTTTCATTAGGAGTTCAACAAAAACCCATAACATATAACAAAGGGGTAACATGGGATTTTGCGGTTGATAGTGAATACCGTGAAAATGATGATCAAGAAACTGCTGCTTCACAAGAAGCAAATGACGGTACATCAGAAGGAAAGCGAGTTGAATTTTCCGTTACTGGTGAAAACAATGATGCTTCCAAAACAGATTCAAGTGCTGCTGCAGTTGTACCACCAAAAAAGTCACGGTTCTTGGTTGGAGATGCTGTCGCAGAATCACACCAACCTTTGTCTTTATCCGTACCTACGACTCCCTCCGCCACCTTTGTTTCTTCTCAAAATCCATTATCTAAATCTCAGCCTCTTTCTGCTGGAACAAATTTTGTACCTAATCCATTTTCGTCAGGTGAAAAGGATGAACTGAATGCTCAAATACAAACTCAACAATCTCAAGGAATTAAAAAGGGAAGATTTAATGTTGTAAGTAATGGATCTAGGGAAAGAGCTTTATCATCAGGAACTCAACCTGAATCCGATAATCAGCAACTGCCTCAGTCAAAGGAGTCTATCGAGAATTTAACAGGTGACCCATAATATGGTACTTGCAATGTACTGGTTTATATATTTTTATTATATAAACTTATTTTTTAAAGTTCTAATCATTTCAAAACTTCATTGATAACACGTCCATAGAAAGTAATAAGAAGAGCAGATTTGAATTACAACAACCCCCTCAGCCTTTAGATAATCCTACATTGACATCTTCATCAAGTTCTCAAAATTTGTCTCGAGAAAGTTCTGTTATTTCACTTTCTCGTGATTCAACATTGTCAAAAGGTGATACATTATTAACTAAGGAGGGTACTATTAATGGAGGTTCCTTAGATGTGCAAACTACAGAAAAGGCTCCAGAAAAACCTGTGGGTACCAAAAAAGGAAGATTTCAGGTGTCCAGTGTTGATGTACCACCAAAGATAGATGGGTCAATATCTCCATCAGGTATAGAGAAAGTTGGAAATGAATAATAATTTTTATACATATATTTATTTGCCTTATATGGTTGTTTATTTATTATTTTAAAAAATCAAACAGCTATTATAAAAACAATTGGGGTTTACGATTTTTTTAACTATTTAACTTTTTATATATACAAAAATAAAATAAAACTATTTCCTTATTCCCTCCTGCCTTCTCACTCTTTTTTTTTTTTTTTTTGTCATTTTGTATAAAAAATTTGTTTAATTTTTTGGTTTGACCAAAATAAAAATTAAAATCAGGGAACTTGCTTACATCTGAAACCACATATTCACCACAATCAACTTTCTTGGGCCACTCGCCCAGTATCTCACCTGCCACATCCATCTTACGCGGTCAAGGACAACATATGATGAGTACTAGTTCACATATTAAAACTTTACTACAACAGAACGAAACGCAACGAGCAATTTTGAATGAGCTATTATATGGTACATCAGCCGCGACTATAGTCGGAAGAATGGCACAACCACAGCAATATAATGCACAACATTTTCAGAGTGTAAATGGTAATACAGGAGGAATCAATAGGAATTCATCGAAGGAGATCTCGTCATATTTGGTATATAAATTGTTTTTCATCAAACTCTTAGTAGATCTTTTATTTTGATTGATGCGAGATATATGGTTTAATGAAATTATTTTCATTATCATTAATATTAGAGTTATCTGGATAGACAAATTCAATGCGTTCTTCGTGATAATGAAGAATTACGTAAAGAAAATGAAAGTCTGCGGAGAGAAAATGAAAAATTAAAGAAATCATCACCTTTGAATTCACTGGCTTCTGGAAAGTTGACAGCTAGTTTTATTCCAACCACAACAGCAGCAGATCCATCATCAACAAAATCAGCAAGCGGTAATATAAGCAACGCGTAACAGTAGATCAAAAACTTCTTTCTTTTGATGGTTTTGTCATGTGATGTCTCGGGATGATCTATTCTGAGAATGAATTTTTTCAAGGTAAGTTTCAAATTGTTTCATTATCTGTACTAAATTAGGAACTATGAAATTAATGAGATGAAAAAGAAACAAAATCATAAGAAAATGTACAGATATATATATATTGGGGTTCTTTTCGCGAATATCTTTTTTTTTGTCAAATCTCATCATCATTATTACAAATAATATATACAAATAGTCCTTCGGAAAAGGAAAATTGGAGGAGAATTAAATTTTTTTTAAAACACTTAATAATACTCTTACTCATCACTCACACTCACACTCGCACACTTACTTATATATGTATGAAAAATACTATAACTTGGAACTTTTGTAACTTTTATATAATTCAGTCTATATTATGTCATAAAATTTTATTTTCAATTAATTAAAAAATATTTATGTAACCGACGATCTATGTCAGATTATGCAATGTTTCGATAATCGTCACGTAATAATTTTGTTAACAATTGGTATATAAATACCGATCCGAATTTATCTTCCAAAAACTTTGTTAAAAAAACAATTATCACAAAAACTGCATTATGAATTCTCCGACAGTTAAATTGTTAGAATTATGGAAAGCGAGCTCAGAAATGACAGTAGGTGAAATAACAAGATACAGAATACGTTTTGATCCTAAAAAGTTAAGAAAAAGTACTATATGGCCACCACAAAATTTGGTGTTAAAAGTTAAGAATACAACCCCAATAATCTATACGATAGCGATATTAACAGGACCATATAATATATCGGCAACTTGCATTGAAACTAAACATAATGATTGTAGTATTTTCAAACAACCACTTGAAATCATACCACAAACTAAGGCTGGAATAAAATGCGGGGAAACGTGGGAAATAAAATTAAATTTGGGAACGGGAAATAGTAATGAGGGAGAGGAGGAATGGATTGGGGATTGGACAATTGAAGTATTAAGTGATATCTTATTTACCAATAATAAGGTACAATATGAAGTAATCTTATTTGCAGAGTTAACAAATATAACAGACGAATTAGAAGAATTTCTTATTCTTGACCATAAAGTTAAGCATGAGGAAGAGTATCAAGATGGTCCTACCATAATTAAAGCTAGTTCACCTTCGATATCATTTGAATATTTCAAACCAGCAGATGTATTTTCTTTACCAGATCTCAATGAAATAAATAAACAAAATAAGCCAATTCATCTAGTTGTGTTAACTCATGGGATACATGGATCTATGTTGGATGAATTATATTTAAAGGAATCTATTGAAGAAAAATGTAAAGATCAATCAGAAAATGAGGTCGTGGTCTATATGTCTGATGTTAATCATTCTGGTACCGAAGATGGAATTGAAAATTGTGGTAAAAGGTTAGCTAAAAATATTTTAGTATATGTTGGATGGCCTTCTGATAATATATTTTCTTCGATTACCTCGAGTTCATTAGTTTCTCCTTCTAAATCAAAGAACTTTAACTGTAATAGAAATTTAATATCCAAAATATCATTCATTGGACACTCATTAGGAGGATTGATCAATGTATTTCTTGTAGGTTACTTAAATAACGTAACTAATGGAACATTTTTTAAGGAAGTTAAACCAATACATTTTATAACGATAGCATCACCATTACTTGGCTCGACAGATTTAGCCTGGTATCTTCAATTTGGTATGAAATTGGGTGCAATAGGTCAAACCGGTAAAGATTTAGCATTAATACCAAGATCAAAAGATGAACAACATTCCGCATCAGGCGTTTTAGAAGAAGGCAATTCATTTCCCAATATTGATTCGCTTAACGAAGAACCTTTATTATTGTCTTTATCACGTTCAAATTCTTCTTCTCATATTGCATTAAAATCATTTAAAAGTCGTACATTATATGCGAATATTACTAATGATGTACCCGTATCTCTCAAGAGTTCTTCTCTTTATTTTATTAATCATTATAACGGTGATGATTATGTTAAAGATCATTCTCAAATTACTTTACTTAATCAATTTAAACACTTGATAACCACTTTAATGCCTCCTGAAACTACTAGAGAGTATCTTAATAAATCTTTTTCTGCTAAATCTCCTATTATTCATGATAAATTATATCTTCCTAGCGATATTCCTCCTATACCCGATACCTTTTCTACTTCTTTTGAAAAAGATGATGATGAAGAATATCACGAATTGCCTATTGAAGAACAAATGGCTAGATTTTGGCATAAAGACATGTCTTGGCGTAAAGTACTCGTTCGCCTTGAAGGCGAAGCTCATACTCACGTAATTGTACGTAGAAAATGGCAAGATGCTCCTGGTTGGCAAGTTATTAATCATTTATTAAATAATCATACATTTTAATTATTTATTTGTCTGAAATGTAAAATGTAACGTTTTCTTATTTAGTAAAATAGAACATTATGATTACAAAATTTTTAAATTGAGGTTTCCAACTATAATTTCTAATATACAAAATATCCACTTTCTCTCTTTATATTTTAATTTTATCTTATCAAAGGTTCCATCTCTCACAATTTATGGGCTCTTTCTTTTTTATTTGTGTAAATATCGCCTATAATATAAAACATCATTAATAAAAATGACAATAATAACCGATAAAAAAAACTAACCTACCTTTGCAATACTTGTTATTTTTTCGTGTTCGTTATGCTTAATGCGATTGTTATCAGCGTATTTTAATGCTTCATGCAACAAATTATCAAGTATCGGCAATACCACTGAAAGAGAAAAAAAATTAATCATTAGTTGCTAGTTTAACCAATGAAAATATGTAATTCTTACAAGGCTCTTGCGAATGTTTGAGAAACGGATCTGTTAATAATTGCGGTACGGTTAAACGTGCTTTCGGATTTCTCTCGAGGCATCCTTTCATTATACGGATCAAATTTTCATCAATCGCCTTATCACTTTGATTATTTGTAGTTGTTGAAAATGAAATTATATAATTTTCATCAAGTATGGCCTGGTACTTTTTGGTCATATTCAAATGAGAAAATGGTGTGTGACCATAAACCATTTGATAAAGAATACATCCAAGTGACCAAACATCACTTGGTCGGCCTTGCTATAAATGCTACAATTATTAATTTATCAAATATAATGCAGTACTACATTAAAAAAAATAATAATAATAACTTACTTTCAGGCATTTTTTCCCATTTTTGATCGTTTCTGAATCACTCGTGTCGTTGAGGGCTTCCGGCGACATATAATTAATCGTTCCTACCTGAAATCAAAATAAAATAATTTCATTAATGAAATGAAACAAAAAGATCCATTTATGGTAATAAATTGTCATACATGATGTTCTCGATGAATATTGGTCGTACCGTTTGGTATTGCTTTCGCAATACCAAAATCGATTAATTTTAACGTCCCGTTTATTATTATGAAGTTGGCCGGTTTTAAATCCGTGTGCACGATGTTTTCTAATTGTATCGCATATACGGCCTTTAAAATCTAATAATTATTTATTAAGTCATAATTTAAGTTTCTTCGCATTTAATATTGACAAATATCATTTTATTTACCTGTTCCCAATAAAATCGAATATCATCTAAATCTATAGATTTCCCATTTTTCGAATATAAATAATGAGCTAAATCTTGCTCCCCACATTCCAACAACTTGAAGGAAAATAAAAAAAAGTATAAGCAGAAAATTTATCTCTAAACTATTAAAATAAAATGATGCATAAAGTTACCATTAATAAATATCCCCTTTCTTCGTTAACTTCCGCATCATACAATTTTATTATACCATCTCTTCCGGATAAGCGTTTTAATAAAGATACTTCGTTAATATATCCAGATAATATATTATCATCGACTCTGTCGAAAGTGACTTTTTTCATGGCATAAACTTGACCATTTGAATCAGTCACCTTATAAACTTTGCTACTACCTCCGCGACCAAGTACCGCGTAACGTTTATAAGGCTTTCCATTAAGCTATAAATTTAATTATTTAAAGATGGTTTTAAAAAAAAACAACACGAATATTTCTTTAAAAAAAAAAAAATTGTTCTACCATCATGATGTCTTTGTGCGTTTTTTCATTTTGTATCATCGGCTCAGCATTGGAAGTTTCTGGAGAATGAACCTTCATGTATAAGCCACTTTGTAATTTAACTTCTTGATGGCCAACTTTCAAAGAATGTTGTAAATTTGATTTAACATCATTAATTGATCTCGTAGGCTTGAGAAATGTATATGGCTTAATATGATTATCTTCCTTTGATAACAAAGAATCATGCTCTTTACTGTCTACAGCATTTGTGTAAAGTGTTAACCTCCAAAAACTAACTTCAAATGAAAAACGTTAAGTTTCGTAATAAAGTTTACCCGAAATCTTGCGACGATTAGGTTGATCTGAAAATTCTTTCGGTTCCTCTTCTTCCGGAACTGGCTCTGCTTGGATCTTTTTTACCCGTTGTGGTGGGCCTACTCAGATTGTATTTATAAATGTCAAACAGTTGTCCAATAAATCAATAATCATAAAGGGCAATTCCTTACCAAGATTACGCGCAGTAGTTATCGTTCTTCTTCTTCGTCTCACGGTTGAACCATGATTCTGCAACCTTATCAACAATTTGAACGTGAAACAGATGGTATAAGGAGCCGAACATTTCAATATATGCAATTAAATGATTCATTCACCTATCAGTGACTGCTGGAGTTGATAAGCCACATCGAGCTGCTGCATTATCAATATGATTAGTCACACACGAAAAAGACATATTTAACTCTTGAGGACGAGTTGCTACTGGTGTTTCTAAACCCTGTAATAAAATAAGCTCAAATTGTATATTCTGATATATGACACGCTTCCTTTTTCATAATATTACCTTGTTTGCATTCCTCGCTGGACTTTCGACATGCCCTTGGGCCAAATTTGTAAGGTTAGAAAACGGGCCAAAGGGACTCGAGTTTATTGGACCTTTCAAAATTGAAACTACAGTTCCTTTTCTTGGTTTTAGTTCATCCATTTTTAATATTTTAATTGAGACTAAATGTAATAGTGGTTATTTATTCAAGGAAATAAATGGAAAAATCGAAGATAAACGTATCGTTAAATACGCGACGAAAAGAAATGTTTAATATTTATGCACGTGATTACTTCGTTGTCATTGGTTGAATTTGGTGCATCACTTTTTTTTATCGATAAAAATCAGAAAAAAAAAAAAATTTTTTTTTGAATTATTTATTTAAATTATGGGGAAATTAAAGCAAAAGGGAAAAGCTGGGGCAGCTACAAACTACATAAATCGAAATCAAGCTTTAAAAAAGTTACAAGTTTCACTTGCGGATTTTAGGTACACTGCACTCATATTGTATTTTGAATATTCATTGTAAATACGGAAAAATTTATTGATTAGTTATTATTTATTACTTAAGACGTTTATGTATTCTTAAAGGGATATATCCTAGAGAACCGAAAAATAAGAAGAAAGCCAATAAAGGTTCTACAGCTCCAACAACTTTTTATTATACAAAAGATATTCAATATCTCGCTCATGAGCCAGTCCTACAAAAATTCAGGGAACATAAAATATTTTTAAAAAAATTAACTAAAGCTTTAAGTAAAAGAGAATTAAGTATTGCGAAAAATTTAGAGAAAAATAGGCCAGTTTATACATTGGATCATATCCTTAAAGAAAGGTAACACGAGTAGTAAATTGAATTTTTTTCGTCAATTTATTAAAAAGTATTAGATTAATTAATTAATTACTTCTCATTAAATAAGATATCCTACATTCACTGATGCTTTAAGAGATCTTGATGATGCATTGTGTATGCTGTTCTTATTTTCTACATTTCCTGCAACAGATAGAATAAACTCGGAAACAGTTACAAATTGCCAAAGATTATGTGCTGAATTTCAACATTATATCATTAAAACTAGAAGTTTACGTAAAGTTTTCTTGTCGATTAAAGGAATTTATTATCAAGCAGAAGTTAAAGGTCAAATAATAAATTGGTTAGCTCCTTATCAATTTAGTCAACAGGTAAAATCACTAAAAAAAATCATGTTAATTATTGTTATTCTGACTTAATTCTTTTAATTAATAGGTTCCTGATGATGTTGATTTTCGTGTTATGTTTACTTTCTTGGAATTTTATCAAACCCTTCTTGGTTTTATAAATTTCAAATTGTATTCCGATGTAAATCTCGTTTATCCACCAAAATTAGACACATCTAAAGATGAAGGTGCGGCTGGATTAGGTGCTCTTATTATTGAAACTACCAATAGTCTTGCAACTTTATCTACTAGTTCACATAATAATGAAGATATAAATAATAATGCTATTAAAGAAGAGATGGTATTTCTACATTATTATTTTTTTTTTTTTTTGTTATTTAGCGACTTATAGTTTTACGCTTATATTAATTATTTATTATTCGCAGGTTCGCAAGCTTGAATCTGAAAAACGCCTAAAGACATTATCAGAAAAACTTGCAACTATTAAAGATCAAGGGAATAAAACATCAGAAATACAGCCTGATACTACGAAAGAACCTGAAGTTATGAATAACGAGAAAATAATGGATGAATTTACCTCATCAGATTCAAAATATCAACAAGATGTCTCATCAAAAACATACACGTATAGTGATATACAAAATGCTTCAATTGCATTAACAGAATTTGAAAATTTATTTTCTAATTGCATTTTTTATTTATCTCGTGAAGTTCCAAGATATTCTTTAGAATTTATTATTCGTACGTTTGGTGGTCAAGTTAGTTGGGATGAAACGTGTGGTGTTGGATCATCATTCAATGAAAGTGATGATCGAATTACACATCACATTATTGACCGCCCTGCTACAGGTCATAGATTTTTATCACGAGTTTACATTCAACCACAATGGGTTTATGATTGTGTTAATGCTAGAAAATTATTAAAGACTGAACCATATCAACCTGGAAAAACTTTACCTCCTCATTTATCGCCCTTTGTTGAACATAAGGAGGGTGATTATATACCTGAGTTTGAAGGTAATATGGAGGAGACAGAATTGAGAAATGAACAAGAAGTAAAGGAATATATTTCAAACGAAGAATCTGATAACGATGACAAAATAAATAGTGATGATGACGACGACGACGATGATGAAAAAGAGGATGATGGACCTGAAACGCGTTCTTCTCATGATAATAAAGCAATGATTCCTCTAATTACATCTGATGAGGTAAAAAAAAAATTTTTTTATCACTTTTTTTCATTGTCTTTTTATAATAATTAATATTGACCTTTTAAATTCTTCCACTCTTAAGCCTTATAATGAAGATATAATTCATCAAATGGAACTCGAAGCTGAAGCAACAGGAATATCATTTTCTATATATCAAGAACAACAAGATCAACTTGCTAAAAAACAGAAAATTCGAAACACTAATAATACTAAAGTTCAACAGCCTTCTATTCAAACTATAACTGGTAAAAAACGTGCAGTCAAAGAAATCGAAGAAAAAGAAGTTAAAGAATTGGCCAAAATAATGATGACAAAGAAACAAAAAACTCTATACAATAAAATGCAATATGGCAAGAAAAAACAACAGGAAAAAGCTGAAAATTTACAACGTAAAAAACAAGAAATTATTTCTCAACAGAAGAAAAGACCAGCTAACTCTAATAAAAATGATAGTAATAATAATAATAATTCAAATAAGAAACGACGAAACAAATAAGGAAAAAAATAGATAGCTTAAGTGAAATTTCTTTTTTTTTTTTTTGTATATATGTTGTCATTGACATATAAAGCATATATCGTTGATTAAAATAGAAATACATTTTTTGCGAAGCATATTTTAACTACAAATAATGAATCGTTCATACATTTTTAAAGGTGAAACTACATAACATAAAATTGATCATAACGTTTTCTAATATAAAAATAAAGAAAAAGGTAAAAGAAATGAAAATTATGCATAAATATAATGTCTCATCAAATCCCAAATATTTGATATTGTTTATTATATCCATCCTGATATTATTTGAACGCCTGAAACAAATATTTCTCCCGTCTGTTATCAATTAAATTTACTTAAAATTATCTATTATTGCAGAAAAGTAGAATCTACAAACTAATAAGGATAGTAAAAATATATATATATACAAATATTATTATTTAAAACACATATGATATGACTATGCGTTCTTTCTCGGAGAGGTCTTAAGTTGTGTTGACCTACGTTTTTTACTTGCTGCTGACCCGTTATCATTACTCCTTTTAAGATTTAGATCTAATAAAAAAATAAATTTTTTAATAACGATAGTTTTAAATTTTAAAATATTAAAAGTACATCAATTATGGCTTACCACTTAGGGCCGGAGATTTTTTTGAAAGTTTTTGGTGAGGTGAACCTATTAAGATTCCATTAGGGTTAGACACCAGAGGTGAAGGAGTTAATGTCGGCGTTGGAGTAGGTGTTGGATTTGGTGTAGGATTCGCAGTTGGTGTTGGGGCTGATGCCTGTAAATCATTTGCATTAGGTGTTGGCGGGGCACCAGTATATTCATGTTTAATGTCTTTAAGTCCATTTAGCTGTGGATTTGATATCCTATGGTTTTGATTTGGATTATTAGAAATTGTAGGTGTAAGATTCATGGTTTGAGATGAAGCTGACATCATCCCTAATGTCTCTATTAATAAAAAAATAAATAAATAATAATCAAAATGTATATATTAACTATAAAAAACTAAAGGAAAGTTGAATCCATTACAAGAAAATTATATTTACGTAGTGGTCCAAGTTGTGGGTTGAATATAGCATTTTTCATGACTTCGTGCATGTTATCAACAACCTCTGCGATCTATTCAAATCATAATAAGTATTAAAGATAAATAAAACAATTAACATAATAGTATAAAAAAATGCTAACATCTAGGCATCGCATTGTCTTAAATGGTATTCCATAATCATTTACAGTCGCTTCTTTTGATATTTGATGATGTCGTGGCACATATTCGGTAAACTTCGAAGTTTCAAATTCATAACTTGTCATTCTTTGCATATTGTTAAATATGACTGTCAAACGACCATATGCCGCAACCTAGATTATAAATTATAATTAAATAATAAATTCTACTGAAAGCAACGAGTTTAATTACACAAACTATTACAACTATTACCTGAGCTCCATTTCTAAAATGGTATACTATAGAAGCAGATGTGCAATCTATTATGGTTTGAATACTATTTGAAGTACCATTTGGAGCACTCGTTGTTTCCTTTGGATTTCCAAGGATAATTTGTATCTTTTCTATTCCAGATTCATAAAATGTAAGATAGAATCTTGGAATAATATGATATTTGAGTTCTATTCAACCAATAGGAAAAGGTTAATGATGATAATAACAGAATTAAGAATACAATATAAAACACTATACCATATTTTTTTTTATCATGGTTCTTTATATTATGTAATGTATATTTCATTGTAATTTCTTCAGTAAAATAATTATGTGCTAAAGTTTTCCAGAATTGAATATCATCCCTTGGACCCTAAAATCGATTAATTTAAATGATTAGTAAAAGACAAAATAAATCCATGAATTAACAATTCAAATCTATGACGTACTTGCGGATTATCACAACCTAAAAATTCTGCAAAAGATAATAGTCTTACAATGCAAGAAATTCTAAAAATGATCATTCATGATTTAATTAGCACATTAATTCATTTTTTAATAAATCATTCCATGTTAATAGTAATTAAATATGAAATTACTTAGTAGGAAGAGTTGGTATCCGCATTGGAATAAGGTTTCTTGGGTTATTTGACATTATCATATTCGGTACATATGAATTTGCGTTTATATTATGGTGAACTCCTGGTACATATCCATTTGGTGTCATGGTAAGGTGTGGTCTTGTAGGTGGTAATCTTGGGCCATTTGGAAGGCTGTAAACAAAGGGAACACCCATTCGTATCCCTCCCGGCATAAAACCAGTCGGATTATAATTCGCCATTAATAAACAAATTTTGATCTCAAATGTATTTTTTATTAAAAAAAAAATAAAACAAATAAAAAAGTGATATTTATTATTTAAATTGACTAAATAATTATTTATTTTGAAGTATAAAGAAAGAAATGAAAAAAAAAAAAAATTGTTGATAATAAATTTTCTTTTTTAATTTTTCTTAAATGTGTTTAACAAAAAAAAAATAGGAGTCTGGTTTGTCAATTATTACAAAGATCAGAATTTATCTCCAATTAAAGGTGATTTGCGGAGTTGAAAAATTGCAAAAGCGGTATCACTCGCTTGTAAATCAGCCAATCAATTAATGTGAATCTCAACATCAGGATATGAGTCACGATTTTAAACGCGTCACCTAAATTGAATAGCCCATTTATACGATCTCATGTATTCTTAAAATTCAGTTTAGAATATAATTATTTTGGTTTGAAAGTATCCTTATTTCGGATTCCAAATGATTTCCTTCGTAGTGAAATATTATTAACAGCTGTTTAAGATCGGTTTCGTATTTCTGAATCCAAATCACCACTTGGAAGATTGGAAGCACTATGGAAGGTTCGGAAGCATAATTTCTAATAAAATCATTTGGCCTAACCAAAATTTTATATCATTGGAAGTAATGCACATCACTGCAAATCACTGTAGCCCGACGAATGTTTCTTGAACTTCTGAAACTGTAAAATGTCTAAACTTCCAAACATCCAATCCATCTGATCCTATGGCTATTAAATCACGTTATAGATCATATGGGTAGTATTCTATTAAAATTGAGGTACGGATCATATGATTTACTATGTCTCGTAACCCACTTTTAAAAGATCAGCTCCCATATGTCTGGCTCAACTTATTTGTCGCATAAAGTTCTATAATGCCAGCTAAAAATCACGTGATGTGAAAATTAGTGGTAGCGCGAATGTTTTAAAAAAATTTTTGTTTTCATTATATTAGTTAAATGATTTTAATATAATAATAGGTTCAACAGTTTCAAGGTTTAATCATTCATCATACCTTCTAAAATTCTTGTAAAAAATTTTTTTTAATTATTGTTTTCTTAATATACTTATTTTAATAATATATGAAAAACGTTTTATATAAAATAAGAGTAGAGTATGGTCCAAATGACTATAGTATATCACGTGAAATGGTTTTGAGTATATTTTTGTTATACTAAACAGACCTAACCTAACCCTAAACTAACCCTAACTTACCAATATTAACGTTAACTCCTAGCAATTAAGTATAAAAGGTCATACTCAACATCAATTATATACCATACAATACTCAATTGATCGACCATATTCTACTACCTATGGAAATTTAAAAATTACAAAATAAAAAAATTTTGATTTAACTCTTTAATAGCTTTTTTGAAATATATTATTATAGTATTGCATTTTATTAATATTTTTATAAATGAAATAGAACAAATATCTTTTAAAATTAGATTAATAACATGTATTATATATCATATATTAAGGATATTTCATATTTTTTTGTAATTATTTTGTATATATTTTAAATATTTTCTTCTGCATCTAATACAATTGCTGAAAATTTTGAAGCCAATTTTTTTAATGTTTTTTTTAATAGTTTAAGCTAAAAATTCACCAGTATAACTTTTAATTGATAGATCTTTTAATATCATAAGTACTCTATATATTGAAATATATGAATTAAGAAATTCCAAATTGACTTATTTGCTGAACTTATCTATGCATAATATGTTTATAAAAAAAGAATTAGAACAAAGAAAAAAAGAAAAAATAAAGTTTTAATTTAAAATATGATTAAAATAAATAATAAATTACATATATAATATTAAATTTGTTTTATTTTTCAATACATTAGTGACTTATATATTTATTATAACAATTTTTTGTGATAAAAATTTACTAGAAAGTACTTCTTTTAATAAAGGTATATATATTGAACATAAAATTCTTAAAAGTTCAATAAAGAAGAAATTTCAATTATATATCATGCAATATTACATACTACAAATACCTTTATACAAGCCTAATTAATTTTATGAATTCTATCTTCAGAAAGTTTGATACTTTCATGAAATTCAGATAATTTTGTTGATTATTATTAAGTTCTCATTTTTAGCTTAAGATTGATTATACTTTCTTTAGCTTTTATAGTAAGACAATTTAAGAAAAATTGTCTTATCTTAGTTAGAATTTCAGAATAATTATTAATGAAAAATACTTTCAAATCTTGTGATAAATCTTTTTTCTAAAGTAACTATAATATTTACAGGTTGTTTCATAGTAATCTTCTAATATCATTAATCCTTGTATAATATGTGTAATGACTTAGAATAACTAACAGCATTTTTTTTTCTTTAAAAGTTGGAGTTATAGGAATAGTTAGAGAAGAATTAAAAAAAAGATAAAATCTAATATAGATATATCTAAATATGTTTCAAATTTGAGAATAAATTTATTTATAATAAAATGTGTTGTATATATTTATCAAATGTAAACTTGGATATAAATGAAAAAAATCCAATTTCTGAGAAAATTTAATTTAATAACCAATAAAATCATTACACATGATATATTTAGTTTAGCTAAGTTTCAGAAGGTTTATCAAATTTTATCAGTTTTGTCAATTTCAGAAATTTGTATTTAAAATGAAACTAATTTCATTAGTTTCAGAAATTTCACCAAAAACTTAATTTTAGTTTCACCTGAAACATTACAGAGTTTATTAAAAATCTCTAATAAATTAATAATATTATTCTTTAAATTTTAATCTTTCTTTAAATCTATATTAATAAAGATGACCTGACTCTTAATTCATATTTATTTCTTTTATAATTTAATTTAACATAAACTCTATATTAGCAAATATAATCTATTAACATGATAATATATTGTTTAAGCTTAACTATATTAATATTTTAATAAATAAATTCTTTATATATATAAATTTTATAGTAATATATTATTATTTAAATATTAACTTAAAGGATTGGTTATATTAATTTTATAACATAATTTTAGTAATTATAATAATTATATTATTAATCAAACTATATTAAAAACTAAATAAAATTGGTTAACAAAATATGTATAAAATTGAAAATGAATTTATAATTAAATATTTTATTTTAATTTATAAAATATTTAGTAATTTGGTTTAATAAAACAGATTTAGAATTATATAAATGTTTTTTTTTTACAAATTATATATGAAAAGTTTAGTGAAAAAAATGAAAAATGTTAATATAAGCTTTTCTTTTTATAGTAATTTTTTTTGTACAAAAAAAATTGTTTTAAAGACTTAGTAATATATTATTATTATTATAAGATTAAATGTATTATTATTTTAGTTTTTTTACTATTTATTAACTTATATAGTTCTCAATAAAAGAATAGCAATAGTTATATTGCATTTATTTTAGGTTGTAATATATTCAGTTTTCTGATTTAGGCTATAATTTATATAACTAAATTAGACAATAAAATTCTAATTCTAATTTAAAAGAATAAGTCTAAATTTGTATTTTATTTTTTATTTTTATTTTTATTTTATTCTTATGACTATACTAAGCTCCTTGAAATAAAATAAAACTCAGAGTTAATACTTTGGAATCAAAATATACATAATACAAAAGGAATATTATAAAAATTATACATTTCTATATATATATATGAATGATATATCAGTTTGTTACATAAAACTGACAATATAATTATAAATTATTTGATGTATTTTTTATCACAATCCAGCAGAATATAACAATCTCAATAATAGTATACTAGTTAGATGCATTGATAACATATAATACTGGATTAAAGCATATATGGGATGAGTGCTAAGAAAATGACCAAATCAACAAAAAAATTTTTTTTTTGAAATAATCTATTTTACTTGGAAACTTTTTTTTTAAAAAAAAATCAATTTGGTCCATTTTCCCAGTACTCACCCTATATTGATGTAAAAGCAAATCACATAAAATATTTAATTAATTAATAAAGATTATTTCGTTAGTATTAGTAATTAATTAAAAAATTTGTATTTAAATAATAAAGTTTTTAAAATTGTATCCATTATCTTTTTACTAAGAACTGTATATATATATATATTAAAAAGGTTTTATATTAAAAGAAGGAATTAAAACTTATAATATTAGTGATAACAGATTGAAAAGATGGATTGATACCAGATAGCATACTATATATAATTGTGTTGATTCAATTATGTATTATAAAATTCCTTAGAAAATGTAAGTTAAATTGTATAAATAAATTATTTATTTAATATTTTATTAATTTATAATAATTATTTTATTTATTTAAAATTAAAAAAAGAAAATTCTAATATTTTATAAATAGCTGTATTATCAATTTTACAATCACATGTATTTTTTGATGATATTCATGCATTGGCTTTTACATTACATCCTATTAAACAAGCAATTGTAATATTAGAATTTCAGATATATAAATATACTCTTGCTGATTATTTCATCAGACTTACAAGACTTGAATCTGCAATTAAAAAATTACTTAATAATAACTATTGCATTTTTCATCATGAATATATTTCTATTTTTAATTTGTATTATATTAAATATGTTGATCCAATATACTTGTTATGTTTTTTTTTGTATTCAGCTTATACTGGTATGTTAATTTTTTTTATAAAACATAATTAAAATAAAACTTTTTATTCATAATTTTTTATAAAACAATTTTTTTTAATTTAATAATTGATTAATTTATTAGATATGAAGAACTTTTAGAAATCTCTTAATAATGGCAAATGATTTATTTATGAAATAGGAAAAAGTAATAATGAATGTTGTAAATTAATGCATTAGATGAAATTATTATGTTCAACAATCACTTTTAATATTAGGATAGGTATTACTAAAGATAAGAATTGTAATTAATATATTATAATTTTATGTTGCAATATATGTTACAATTAGTTTTAACTTATATATGTTGTAATTTATAATGTTACAATATATGTTA